ACTATGGCAGCACAGTGAAATGGCTGAGTCTGTAGCGAACTCACTTGCCATGCAGGTGATCTAGATTCGATCCTACCTTTGGTTAAATCTTTTTTTTTTTAATTGTTTTAAAAATTATAACAACTCTTCAATAAAGTTAATAACCTAAAAACATTATCAATTAAATCATAAATAATTTTATTTTATTTATGAAATGACTGTTACAGCTAATTAAAATGTGAATTAATGATATAAAGATAATATTTTATTTTTAAAAAGTTGAATAATTTCAAATGCACTTTTAATGAAGGTACATTGAAACTTTAATTACTATTGTCATTAAAAAGTTATTACAAATTTTAAGATATTATAAGCTGTGGAGAGGTTAAAAATATTCGTTGTAAATTTGAGGAACTGGTTTCTATGTGGAAGAGTAGAGTATAGCTGTTGATTATTATTTATGATTTAATTGATAATATTTTTAGGTTATTAACCTTATTGAAGAGTTGTTATAATTTTTAAAACAATTAAAAAAAAAAATTTTAGCTGAAGGTAGGATCGAATCTAGATCACCCGCATGGCAAGCAAGTTCGCTACAGACAACCATTTCGCTGTGCTGTCATAGTATAAAATCGACCAGTATATGAACTGTGCTTAAAATTTTAGAGCACTTTTTCCTGTAATCTTCTGGCTAGTGAGCTTTACAATTCTTCTGGGTGGACACCTGTGAGGTATACTAGTAATCTGCAAAGTCTCATCCTGAACTGAATTTCCAAGACCATAATGTCCCCTTGTAAGAGAATAGTTTCAAATTCAAGTTTCAGTGCTGTTCAGTTCACAATCTTGTTAGTCAACAGCTGGACACATTCTGCCCTAGTATAACAACATATCTTTTGCAAAAAATTTCAATTGGCACATGAAAAAATGTTGCATCATAGATTTGGCAGTTCTGGCATGCACACTAGTCTAGACATTAGGGTGCTTGTGTACCAGATGTCACCTTAGTGGCTCGCGTGAAGTGCAGGGAAGTGAAAAGAAGGGAAACTATCTGTGTAGTGTTGCATTCCAAAATGTTGGGCCTACAGGAGAAACATGTGACAATCAAATTGTGTGTGAAATAGGGAAAATGGCCAGTTTTGTGGCAATTTTCCCTATTTCACACACCATTTTCCCTATTTCACACACAATTTTCCCTATTTCACACACAATTTTGGTTGAGCAGCACTGAACCAGAAAAATGGCAGTTCAAACCATGGTTTCTTCAATATAACATTGTGCCATGTCATAAGGCATGACGTCCTAGTATTTGAACCAGTAATAGCCAAATACAATGCCCCATTGGTTGAACATCCTCGGTATTTGCCAGTTTTAGCTCCCATTGACTTTTTTTCTTTTCCCAAAAAGGAAAACTATGTTGAAGGGAAAAGTTTAAAGATGTGAAAGCCATAGAAAAAAATGCAACAAGGTCTCTAAAGGCCATTCTAAAATCAGTGTTCCAGCAGCTCCAGAAATGCTGAGAAAAGTGTATTATATGTCAAGAGGCTTTGAAGGAAGCTCATTCTATGTGGCAATAAGTACTTTCATTTATTTTTTAAAAATAATTCTTGAAATTTTTATTAAATTACACCTCATACATTTTTCATTCTTTTAATTGCTCCTTCAACAATTTTTAGACTATATTTTATTTAAAAAAAACAGTTGAAATACAAAGTAAAAATACGTTATTCAAAAAAATTTTTTTGATATTATACAAAACAACTTAAATGATCTAATTTAGAAAGATATTAATAATAAAATTATAAAAGTTTTCCTAGTTCAGAAAGTAATAGAACAGCACAATGAAGGATAAAACAACACTGTTCACATTATCACACCTCATGTACACAGACAATATCAAACTTTACACATCCACACACAGAATCAGCTTCATCATCTCTTACAAACTAAACACACACACACACTTAAATGATATACAAATGGAATTTGGTCTAGACAAATGCAAAACACTACACATTAAAAAAGGAGTTCTGAAGAAAGAAGACTTTGTATTCAGAAGTCAAGATATCATCAAGTCTATAGAAGAGGAAAAATCTTACAAATTTCAAAATATTTGTAAGATTTAGTATTCTAACAGGCCAAACTTACAGAACATGCACAAATAAAACAAGAATTAATACAGTAGACCCCCCTATAACGCTTAAATACGTTCCACGCTAATCGAATTTTACATTGTAGGAATGATTAAATACATGAGCCAATCGCAGCCCAATAGGTGGGAACTTTACGGACTAAGGCTGTTCGAAAGGTTTTCTTCTATAAAATTAACCGATTCTAGATTAATTCCACTCAACATTTCCAAAACACGTATAATTTTTTGGGAGTAATCCGTATAAACTATGCTATAAACAAAAAATTATAGGATTACTTACCGAGTGTGTACCGTTCGACTACGCCGTTGCTTAAAGCTGGTTTTCGTTGCGGAACAGCACCCGCGATTTCTAATAACGAATTTTTCGCAGAAAAATAACTTGACCTTTGGAGACATCATTAATATAAATAATTTTTATGGCCGTTGAATAAGAAGTGTTTCTTTCACAAGAAATGTATAAAATTAGTGCTGTATTAGACTTACGGTACCTAATTTACATACTGTACAGACGATAATAAACTCAACTTACTAGTCCAGTGGTTCAACCTTTTTTCATTAGTGTACCCCGTGACATGTCATATCTCTAGATTGTACCCCTCATTTAAGAAATTTAGTGAGTACCCGTATTGTTAACTTTACATATTGTAACTTTAATTAAATTAAAGAAAAAAAAAAGTAAATGAAAAAATGCAAAATAAATTTGTGATTGTTGCAAGGAACATACTTACCTAATAATTTTTAATACTATTAGTTTGTGATACATAATATATTATTTTTTCGGCCATAATAACTAACTTTTTTCTGTACCCCTAAACAATCTATCACGTACCCCTAGGGGTACGCGTACCACAGGTTGGGAATCGCTG